TAGGTTGAGAATTTGTGAATTTCGCTACAGCTGTACATGTTTTGTCGGCGGGAATCTAGCAAAACTTGTTATTTTAGTACAGTTTTAACATTACTGTTGCTAACAATGGTCTCTGTGAGCCATATTTACTGCAGAAAAATAGCTCGCTTCCAGTGCGTTTGTCTGAGTCACAGGGGATGTTTAATTTGGGTCAAATTTGTCAAAATTCCGAAGCAAAAATTTGGAAGCCAACTTACCGTCATCAACCCGTGCTCTGTTCTCTGATAAAGCACGCTGTTTCAGCCAATCAGAGCGCGCGTTATATGGAAACTTGATAATAACAAGGGATAAGAAATATTTTGCATTGAGTTACTATCGAATAAGACGATGTTACCTTATCAGATTAGTAAACATTTTGCATTGTAAAACAAAGGAAATATTTACAGTGCGTTTACTGAACCGGGGTCACCCAGGCCAGACAATGAAAAATAATCAGAAGGTATACGTAGAACTGAAACAATAGATTCCAACATTTTCAAATCCAGCCAATCAAGTGTCCGGTACAAAACAATGAATCTCAACTTGATCGTTGACCGGTGATGCTTACGCGGACTACGGTATCGGTTAAATGTCAAACTCAAACAGTACTTTCGTGTGCTTGCGGGTTTAGGAACAATTATATGCTGCACTTAATTATCATTGCGTAGTTGGTTGATTTAGGAAATAAATGAAAACAAAAGCAGTGTAAGGTGGGTTTGATGATGGCTCCTGGTTTGAATATTGTCGCGTCTTAAAAATGCCTTTCGAATGTGATTCGTTAAAAAACCGGTGAATGAGAAGAGCTCGTAGGAAATTGGTTGAAATATTATGTTCTAGATAAATAACTTGTTATGCTGCCAGTCGTTAACCTTGCGTTGAACAGACGTGGCGGATTGTAGGTTAACGGGAGAAGGTTGCCTTCGTCGTTCCGGGAGCGAGACCTTGATGTGAACCACGTCCATTTATCGCAGCGACAAATTTCAGAACTGACGAGAACCAGACGTCATTTTGTACAAAATGTTCTTCGTGATCATGACCACGCAAGCTCGTCTATTTCTACTCCCAGAGCATTCCATCCAGGGCACTCCCCATGTTATCAAATTTATTGCCGGAGTTGGAAAAACTGCTAAAACCTAGTTTTACATTTATCCGAATTGCCATAAAGAATGGTGCTCGATGGAGTGGTTATGTTATGTGGTTACGTGGGATGTTCCAAGTAAAGCGGCAATATCCCAATGTATCAAAACTGATCTCTGTATGTCGTATTTAAGAAGGTTCAAGTAATCCCGCTGGAATCGACTACAGCAGATAATATCGCTCTAGTTGACGCTTACCTCAAGTAAGTAAGTGACCTTAATCCGGTAACGCTTCACTTTTTTGACGAGTGCAGTGTTAAAATTAAAGAAGCCGGCAATCGTATGTTTGGAAACAGCTATATAGGAACACCAACATTCAAAGTTCAATGCATCCAATGCAAATTTTACAGTGAACTTACGACATTCTATTCGAGGTGTGGATCACGTGAATATCCTGGATGGTCCCTGGAATGGTAATGAATTGCTTCTGTTTTTCGAAGAGGCCACTGTACTGGTAAGAGGAGATGGAACACAGGTTCTGGAAAGGGGAGATACAGTGTTGATGGAACCTGCGGATTTCATCACGGACACTTTGTCGAGCCCTTGTTAACCACTATGCTAAACGAGTATGGAATTCGTCTCCTTTTTCAACCCCCATATTCTCCGCACCTAAATACATGCGGACGTTGTTTCCATCAAGTCGAATGCTTCCTGAGGTGCAATCAGCTTCTGGCTCAACATGAGATTGAAATTGCTATTTTCGATGCCTGTGTATTCCAGATGTAGTCAGAGATGACAAGCTTTAAACTTAAAAATCGACACTATTCAAGATGTAACACTGATGAGAGAGTCGCTGCAATACCAAGCGGGAGATTGAATTGATCAATCAAGGGACCGACAATCAGCTTGGACATGTGATTGAAATTGCTTTTTTCGATGCCTGTGTATTTCAGATGTATATGTAGTCAGAGATGACATGGTTTAAACTTAACTTAAAAATCGACACTGTTCAAGATGTAACACTGATGAGAGAGTCGCTGCAATACCAAGCGGGAGATTGAATTGATCAATCAAGGGACCGACAATCAGCTTGGACATGTGATTGAAATTGCTTTTTTCGATCCCTGTGTATTTCAGATGTATATGTAGTCATAGATGACATGGTTTAAACTTAACTTAAAAATCGACACTGTTCAAGATGTAACACTGATGAGAGATAGAGTCACTGCAATATCAAGCGAGAGATTGAATTGATCAATCAAGTCGGGCCGACAATCAGCTTCTAAATTGCATTTTCCGATGCCTGTGTATTTCAGATGTAGTCATAGATGACATACTTTAAACTTAAAAAATCGACACTGTTCAAGATGTAACACTGATGAGAGAGTCACTGCAACACCAAGCGAGAGATTGAATTGATCAATCAAGGGCCGACCTCTTAGTCACGTGCGATTGTTTTTAGCGCCGCTGTTCACGTTGTGCAAAAAACGCAAGAAAAAAAAATCACCACTGACATCATATGACATTGCCCGACGTCAAGGCTGTCTAACGTTGTAAACTTTCCCTAAAATCCTAATGTTACTCTGGCCTTGAGTACTGAATGAAAATAAATTAAAATATCCAGTTCATCGTATCAGAAGGAAGTGTGAGGTCAGAAGTTTAATTTTTCTTATTGTCGTGGCTAGATTTGTAGAAATAGTTTAGAAAGGTATGTAGAAGCTCCTATTTTTTCGTTTGCATATAAAACTCAAAAGTGTCAGTTGTAACAACATCCAGAAAAATGCTTTCAAACAGGTGCTTCATTTCAAGGTTTAATTTAAGATTTCCAAAACGTAATTTGTTAGTAAATTTTATGTTAAAATTTCTTGAGAAATAATTGATTTCTGCATATTCTTCATGGATCACGCCAGGCTGGGAATCTTATCACAAGTAAATGTATTGCCGGTTTTCATGTGACGTGACACATTCCAAAATTAAAACTTACCTTTCCTTCTGAAGATTTAGTTTTATCAGACATAAGACCCTCGGAGAACTTGACGTTTTACAAGGTTGTAGCATCGCAGCTTTCTTCGTTTTGTAATAAAGCTGATATTGAAATGGCATGTCGGAGAAGGCTGTCGCATAGGTCAATAGATGACTTATCTTTTATGTTTTTGCTAGATTAACAGTCCTTGCATTGAACAAAGTATTTATTTTAATGTGCCGACGCTACAGAGTTATAACCTTATCGTTTTAAGACGGAATCCACCAGAAGTTCAAGTAACAAGTGGACAAAAACCTAGTACCAATATTATTTACATCGTATTGCAAACGTCTGTAAGACTGTATTAAATATCTTCTCAAAAAAATCATTTCTAGCAACACCATACGTCGAAAACAAATGTTGAACTTTCTATATACTTTATATATACTTTCTACTGTAACTTTGGTTGAAACATTCCTATAAATTTCATTGATTAAATTTCGCTAACCTCTAAACAATAACCCTTAAGCAGCGTTATTAAAGTTGTCAGTTGCAAAAGTAATGAAACCGTACTTGTAAATGCTGCCAAACCGACTTTTGTAGTTTTCTTTGTATTAGCAGGGACGGCTGCTTTATAGATTGCTAAAATTTCTTCCCCTTTTGCAGTAGGAAATCGAGAAACTATTTTGCTTACGACTGTCGCGAGATGGGAGGTGGATAGTACACACTATCCCAAGTAGCCAATCAGAACGCGCGAAAACGCGCCAGATGGAGGCTATGTTTATTATCCCTCGGATTTTCCTCAGTTTTAGCTGAAGCAAATTTACTCACGTGACATGTTTAGACGTGCGAGGGAAAATATTTGATGGATTATAGTACCGCGTATCCAGACCGTTCTTGAGCGAGACCGCAGCAACACATATTAAAAATTGCGTGCATTGAGTGCATTCGTTAGTAGCGAATTGTGGAAAACTAAAGAAGGACCACGTAATACATGTATTCAGAAAAATTTTCCATATCGTCTTTACTGATATCCTTCTTCCGTTTATTTCGCTCTTTCCATGACAAATCTTACCCAGTCCCTGGCAATCTGAGAGCTTTAGACTGCATACCGATTGACAAGAAACATAGCATTTTATACTAAATGGAATTATAACGTCACAATAACTTGTGAGCTTATTACTCTTTTAGTTACAGATTATGTTTAATATTAGCGATTAGCTAGATGTAGCGGTTCCCACTACGCATTCTTCACCTTAGTTATATGCAGATATATGATCAGTGGCACTCTAGACTTCCTATTTTTCTTTTTTTGTGCAACACTTTTTGGAAGTTGGATGAACCGTTCTACAGTGTAAAGGCCGGCATTTACTTTCTATGCTCCGTGAAGCAATGTCTGCGCTAAGATTTTCTTTCTTTAAACCTGACCAGCAGAAATTAATTACAAAAAAATAAAAATTTCTGAGAGTTTAAAGCGAATTCTCCTATCCTGTTAATCCAATACTAGCCAATGATCCTTTCAGAGATGCCTCAAAGTTCACACTTCCGGTGACAGTGAACATGGTCTCCTAAATTCGTTTCCGTACTCATGAATCCACTTGTTGGAAACTGGAAAAGAATGTTAACGTCGCATCAGAAACAAAAAAGGTCTGCAATACGTGCATGTGACTGCTGCAGCTTTGGGGTGGCCATCGATAAAGCTCTGTAAAGCTGCTTCGTGAACAACGATACCAAAATATTTATGGAAAGGAAAAATTCAGTCAAGATGTTAATTGGTATACTAAGACTGCTCGACTAGTAACCATAAATCTAACTGTGCTGCCTTATTTTGCAGATATATCATCGATCTTAAAACAAGTGGTCCAATGTCTACAAGTACAAATAGCTCACTGCAGTGAATTGGTTCTGTTCGTAAATTTTGTCACAAATTATTCTCTGTACTGTCAGTCCAATAACATCTTAGCTCAGTAGTGATGAGTTGACATGTTCTCCTCATTGCCTCCGTTAAAATGAGCCTCTTATTAAGACCTTTGATTTTTTTTTTGTTTTTTTTTGCGCTTTTGGTTTGTCACGAACGTTTGGAGAAAAATATTGCGTGAAGAGTATAGAGGGCTAGCATCTCGTAGGGATGAAAGACCATTGAATGGGGGCGAATGCATTTGACCTAAACCAACTTCTACCAAACGAGAATACGGAAAACAGTGCTGAGAATTTTAAAGTCGAACTCGGGATAAAGAGCATCAAATGCGTTTAGCAACTTACCCCATTTCCAGCCCTTTAGAACAGGACATCCAGCGTGACGTGTTCTGAAATCACCATCGCCTGATCGCAGTAGATTGTGCCAGAACACAGCATCGCCCTAACAAGAGAATAAGACGTGCTTTAGCAGGGGAAGGGAGGGGGACAGACCGATGGCGCTTTATTCAAATCTTTGTGGAGGCCTTCAGAGGGTTACGATTCGTTTCACACTTTCAAACCAGCGCGACCACTCCCGGTTGTTGCAAAATCGTGACGCCAGCATGACGTAATCTGTGTACGTCATGTTGCTTAGCAACTTCGGTTCGGAGACAGAGGGCTCAGTTCCTGAACTTGTACTCGCTCGTTACAACGATTAGTTTAGACGTGCCAATATTGAGGGCGGTGTTTGATTGAATTGAGTAGAACCTTGGGGCTTATTACGTTAAATGTCCCACCCTATATATTTCCTACAACTCTTACTTCCCTTGAGATAAAATATGCTAAATCCTGTTTGATAACAAATTACCAAATTTAGACTGCCTCATGAGAATAATGTTCTCGGCCTAGAAGCAAATTCTCCAAAGAGAAAGTTAGAAAATTCAAGATCAACAGAAAGGGGAACCTTCGTATCGATCTTGCTTTGCGGTGAGGCACCAAATGAAGTGTCACATTCAAGTATAATACATGGTTTTTATTTGAGCGCCAAATTTAGCATATCACCTGTGAATGTGTTTCTTACCTTTTTGGGCATTACCCTGGCACCCACATACGGGAACACGGTAGCTCCACCGGCCTCCACATCGGTCATCTGTTAATGTAAGTAAACGTAAAATTCGGTAAAGAAGACTTTCGGTGCATTTACTTAAGGTTACTATTTCAAGTAAAAACTTAATTCAGTGAGCTTAGTGTTCTGCAGGTCATGAAAAGTCGGGGTTTTGTTTTTAGCAATCTCAAGCTTTTAAGGTAAAGGCTAGTTTCAGTTGTCACCAAAACTTGTCTGAAAATCCAAAATTTGCTAACTAAATTACGTTAACGGGGAGAGATCGAACCACATTCGCGAATTTGCAATAAATCCTCGGCTGACAAGTTTCTGCTGACTGAAAAGCAATTAGAATTTTGTCTTAGGGACGTACACTGCCTTGCTGTCTGAACAGTTGAAATGTCGTGAGGGCAATCAAACAGGAAGCTAGCGTGCGAACGCAGACGTATCAAATGGGGGAATCGTGAGGAAAAGGCGTGTGGGCAAACAAATTCAGGTTCTCTTGCGATAGTGAACGAGTTTCAATGTCTGAAATTAAGTCAACCTCGCTCCTAGGTTCTCACATCTTCTCACCCTCGTTCCTGGGGTCTCTCATCCTTTAGAGCGGGAAATGGAAGACCCTGGCAACGAGGTTTAAATTAAGTGACACAAAGCATAGGGGATCACATACGTAGAGAAGAACTGTAGCTATCCTGTTTCCGGTGCCAAGTCGACCCAGTGTCGAATTCTCAAGATCCTAAAGAGAGAACGCAGTAAGAGTGTTTAAGAAAGATGAGAGTACAGGTATATTTCTACCAACGCAATCAGTGGAGGTTTACCAGATAAGCAACATACCCTTGAAAAGTCGAAATGGGGATCATAGTGTCCTGCCAATCCATAATTTTGAACCTGGCAAAGAGTAAATCAAAATAAATTAAATTATAATTAAATTGGACTGAGTGAAAGACCTCATAACAATTTACAGATATTGGTATTGAAAACTGCCAGTAACACCCCCGAGGCTTTTTCCAGCAATATGTCTCACAGCGTTTGCACTAAACACGAATGAAAAATGCTGCAAACGTAACAACGGAAAACTTCCTAGAAATCTACCAAGGTCTAAGATTAGTATCTTTGGAGGCTTTAAACAGTCATTTTTGGTAGTTCTTTTATAGACAAAGAAAAACAACAACGAACCACACAGTGTATTCTACAAGAAAATTCCTTTCCTGGCAAGGGAATTTCTCGTTAAATTTCACGCAAAAAAAGAAAACAATATTAGCCTTTCAATACAATTTAACTCGTATTTTCCTCGAACCTCATAGCCTTTTCATAAAACAAATCAGACATAAACGGGTGAATGTTTCAATTGCAACGTCCGCTCAAGAAAAGCCATTACAAAGCAACTGTCATGATTGTCAGGAGGCGCCAGCGAATAGCAATAAAGCTGAATGAGAAAACATCATTTGAACCTCGTGGTCGGCGAAGCTACGTTTTCTAATTGTTCTAACATGCTTTGTATTATTTAAACGGCGTAATGGTGGTAGTTGCCAGACCGTCCTTGGTTTATACAACTTCTATTGCAGGCTCAATCCATTAGATGAAGAAAAAAATCATAACTACTTCCTTTTTCGCTCTTCGATCGCGGCAAATTCGAGCTCGCATCCGAGCTGAAAGCATTCAACGATGCCGCGGGTAAAGGTTTGAAGAAGACGAAATCAAGTAAGTACCTTAAACTTGAATGTACGTAACATTAAAAATACGATACTCAAAAGTTCGAGGCTTTGAGCGTCACAAATAATTCTTTACGTTTAAGAGCAAGGCCGGTTTTCAAATCTCATTTGTTGTTTGTTTCGCGAAGCAAATGATGATCACTTCGCTGTGCCAACGTCTGTTGATTTCCACGAACTGCTTAGAGCGGTTGCTTTGCTTTGCATTGCAAATGTTAGAAACAGTAACTGCATGTACAAGTCAAGTGATCGACAGTTTAAGTTAAAGAATGTAACAAGTTATTTTTTTCCTGAAAGTTTGGAGCATATATAAATTTTGCTGCAGTGCAAACAAATTGAAAGAAGTTGTCTTATAGGATTTCAATGAAAGACAACTACCGCATTGCGATCAAACTATCCATCATTCAGTCAATCAATCAATCAATAGCAGTTTATTGTGTGATACACTTGGCTATATGTAAGCTAAATGTACATCAAATGAAAGATAAAATGACACAAAACTATCGACAGTATAAACTTCAAAAAACAGGAAGCTATTCTTTTACATGAAATTCAAGCGTATGTGCATGTTTGCTTTTGAGCAATGTTTATATTTATATCTACCATTTATTGACGATGGAGTTTGTTCACGCGAAATGGACATTTTAATTTCTTTCTTGTTTCACTGATGCAGTGAAAAAGAAAGTTTTACCGCTGCTTTTATACCTCATTTCTTTGAAAACATAAGCCAATAATAAAGACTAATTTCTGCGGTCGTTTCAGGCATTTTAGTTCTAGTTCTCTTTAGACTTTAGTCAAGCAGTTTCCTGCACTTGCTATATAGCGAAAACAACTCCTTCTCTTCTTCAATTACTGAGGAAAGTTGAAATTGAGTTCAACCCACGCCTTTCCAAAACTCCTTTCTTTTGGCTTTTCTAACGTCGACGCTTACATTCAATGCATAAACTCGAGTTTTTCTTTTTAAATATTTTGCCGGCAATGCCAAACAAACACTTTTGAGAAGTGTGCGATACGTGCAAAACTTCAGTTCCCACTAAACATCGCATCGATAGCCAATGAGGGTGCAAGAATTCTCTCAGCTATGCGATTCATCACAAAGAAGAGGACAAGAAATGGAAAATAAGTGGAAAGTTAGAAAGAAACAAAACAAACACCTGGAAATCCTCTGCGGTTTTCAAATTTAATCCCGTCAATGCTGACATTCGTGCGTTCACACGATCGATGAGCTCATCATGGCCACCGTTTAACCAGCAACTTTGAAAAACAAAATTAAATAAATGAATGAATGAATGAATAAATAAATAAATAAACTTCAGTGTTTAACTTCTTAGTTTAGATCTTATGATACCAAAAGTAGCTTTCACTTCTATGTGCAGTCATAGATGAGAGTTTGGCTAATGGGGGGGCGGGGGGGGGGAGTGTTGGGACTTCCATATGACAAGGTCGGGGATGCTCGTCGTCTCGCATAGTGTAAGTCAAGGATTCTGGTCCCACTCAGGGTATTCAGCACAAAACGCTACTATTTCTAGCTGTCAAAGTATCTTTAAGGGTGCACTCGAAGAGATAACAACTAAAAAACGCTCTCATTTCCGTCAATTTTTAGGCTCGATTTCCGTCCATACTACGCGGGAGAAATTTGAAAACGCAGCAATCACCGGTGAGCAAAACTCGGGCAAGGAAATCACATGACTATCGTGATGCCATCGTTTTCGAAAAGCTACGTTTTCAAAATGCTTTCTGTCCACACTAAAGCGCAGGGCCAACGTTTTCAAATTCTTACGGATCAGTGTAGACGGCAGGCTTAACGGTAGAAATAAAGCCGCGTTTTGAAATTTCTCTGGAGTAGTGTGGACGAGGCTTTAGTTATGAAGTAAGTTAATCACAGCGTCAAATGAAAAAAATTATAAAATGGACAAACATTTGTACGTCTCTCCCGGCTCTGTAATTCACGTCGTTCAGTTCTTTTTTTTTTTTTTGTTTTAGTATCACCACTTTAATTATAACTGCTCGCTTTTCTTTTACTTATAAAAAAATGATTTTTTAAAAGAAAACTTTTAGTTACTGATTTAACTGATATATATTTTTTAACTTACGTACTTTTTGCTTATCCTGTAGTGTGCAAACTCCAGCTGTCCCGTTATTGGGTTATGAACAGTTGCTCTACTGAGCTAAAAAAATAGTAACATAATTATATCAGGGAGTAAAGTTTCTTTCCTCAAAAGACCATGTTGCAACTGCACTTTTGTCTGTCTCCAACAAGTTCCGCAGAGGAACTCTAAAGGAAATTAAATGTTAAGTAAAAGAGCGTCCTTACCAAAGGTTTTGATATCTTTATAACTTTGTCGATTTCAGCATCACTCATTATATTGCGCAGGATCATGATGTCCGGGTTTGTAAAGACCACCTCAATGGGACACCGTTTAATGGTACAGAGAGGATGGCCTGTCTTGTAGTAACACCTGAGTCTCTCTGGGCTTTGAGGCGCCTGATGCGAAGACCAAACAAAACGTAGGCCAGTAAGGTAGGTTAGCACAAGTCTACAGCCATCCATAACCATCCCAACCCTAACCCTAAATATATATTTATATGGTGGAGCCCCTTTTAGATATTTAGGTCTCGATCTCCCACTGGAAAGTAGCCAAACTCTAAGCCGGAGTAACAGGAGTCCACTCTGAAAACAGGAGTGACTTTGGACGGGGTAGAAGCTTGGGGACACAATATGTTTTATATTTTTTACTTTTTATAATCTGATACGTAATGTTTTAAAAATCTTATAAATCCCTTTTCGGGAATATTCAGTGCCGTCTCCAGTGACAAACGCTGCCCTAGTTCAATACGATATACCTCTCCTGTTAACATACAATTGGCGAAAGGACAGCACAGTTCTTCCTGGACAATTCAAATTTCACGCGCACCGGTCATATGCAATGCAAGGACTGAAACACACGATCTACCCACCAGGACACCGCGCCTCGTTTTCATTACAAACGACCTATCTAACTGCAAGTTAACAGTGAATATTACTCTTACTGTGTTTCTGAAGTGTTTCGGTTTAATGGCTTACGTGTGGCATAGGATCTCCTCGACAGAGTTTCTTAAAAATGCGTCTCTCCTCGAACCAGTCGAAGTTCTTCAGCGTCGACTGAGGAAGTTTGCTCGCCAGATACGGGAATTCACGTTCCTTATTTTCTGGTTTCTTTGATTTCTCTTCTCCAGCTTCCATTAGTAACTCCCTGAAGTTGCCAAGGTTCACCTTGGATCGTTCATGATCTGGCACTGAAATGAAAAAACAAAACAAAACAAAACAAAAAAACAAAAAAAGGGGGCGTGAAGAAGGTTAAACCAAAGGCTAATTGGAAGTTTGGTTGGTGTGTTCGCCGATATCTGAGAATTGAAATCTTAACTGCCAGCTAAGAAAAGACACGTTTTTTAAGTGATAACCAGATCGGTAGTACACCGACAGCAGTCCACGAGAGCAACGAAAAATTGAACTTATCAATTTGAATTATCACTCGAACGCAGCCTCCTTAGTCGAGAGTCGACAAGTGGAATAGGTCTACGACAAGATTTGAAAAGTATAAGCCTTGAACAAGGAAACTAACTAAATATT